CACACTTCCCTCTCTTTATAAAAATAGAATATTCCTTATTTCTGGGGCTTATCCAATGTTTTCTTTTGCTGGAAGTTAAGCTATGCATTCCTAGGGCCAAACTGCTCCATAAGGGATGGCCTGTCTTGCCCAGGGTATCAGATTTAAAGGCTCATGATGTCCATCTGCTCCTTACTGATGATGTGTTGTCTGATTTCTCTTTGTAGAATCATAATTTATTTTCATTTGCTTCTAATATGCTTTCTGTGAAGATATACTTTAAGACCCCACAAATATCTTGCTTTTCATCATAATTTCCCTCCTAATTTAGCTTCTATTTATGATTCTTATTGCAACAGTCGTTATTGTGAGGATTGCAAAGTGATATTTTTCTAGCCTCAGCGCACTCTCCACATTTACCAGTATATCTTCATTCTTATCAAGAGCTCTGTCCCCATTTTGTTTTCTTCCTTCCTTTTTTTTTCTGTCTATTATTGGTATGATTTTGTGGATTTTGACTTTTTTTTCATTGGTTTGCAGTTCAATTCTGCCTCAGTTATTTTTTTTTTTGAGAGAGAGAGAGAATTTTTTAATATTTAGTTTTCAGTTTTTGGCGGACACAACATCTTTGTTTGTATGTGGTGCTGAGGATCGAACCCAGGCCACATGCATGCCAGGCGAGCATGCTACCGCTTGAGCCACATCCCCAGCCCAGCCTCAGTTATTTTGATGTTCATATTGTGTCCTTCAGGCTGGCTCCTCTGTGACACGCCCCATCAATTCTTTATTTTCTGGCATAGCAAGATAGTATAGACTCATCTCGTACCCTCCATCTCAGCCCCGAAATTAGCTATTCTTTCAAGAATCCACAGTTCCTTTTTAGTATTATAGATCAAGACTAGTGTCCTCATTGCTATTGAGGTGTCTGTCTCTAGGCTCTGTCAGTACAGCTAGGAGATATACTTAGTTACACACACACATGTATATGTGTAGATACATAAATATGCTCATATGTGTACATTATTTTAGGAATTGATTTCATACTAGTAACTCCAATTTTAATCTGCTCCCACAGGGTTTGTCCTTGCCTTTTCCTAGACCTTTTCCACAGTAAGAACCTTATCTCCTAACAATACTAGCATATATTCTTAATAATTTAATGCATTTCTAATAGTTTCATTGTTTTGCCCATACTATTATAAATCAACCTACAGAACGAAATTGTGATTTGTTTGCTGTCTGTTAGAGTATTAATGTGCTTCCAGAAGTCAAAACTATACAAAAAATATACTCAGAAAAGTGCAATTACCTCCCAAGTCTCTACTACTGCCTTCTTTTTTATATGTTCAGCTTCCTTGTTTTCTGGCTTTTACTTCCTTTTTTTTTT